TAGAGACGCATTTTTGCTCATAGGGAAAGGAATTTTTGTTTTGTTTTACCGGGACAGACATGTGTAAATATACACATCATAATAACACATTGGCGTGCTTGATATGTTGGAAACAGTGATGCTCATGCATCTATTAATGTTTCATCTTCACTCGGTTTCCTTAATTTGCATAGCTGGATACCGCTAGGCTTTCAATTCAATTTCACTCTTCCTTAGTCAATTAGATTGATCGCTGAACGATTGCCGTCAGAGCCAAACCCGGGNCCCGGGGAAATTCAATAGTGATTCGTGTTGAAATTTGTATGTGCATCCATGGTACTGCACTTCAGTTGTGTGGTTTTGAGTTTTACAAGTGAAAAGGTGATACCCGGGGATACCTGGGGAATATTCACTACCCGCCGGTCACTATGTCAATCTGACTCAACCGTTTGGAGATATATACTGACCACATACAACTTCTAGGTGCGAAAATTTTCAATCAAACGTGCGGTTGCCTGGGTTTCAATCGACGGCAATAATACAAGTAATTTGGAAATCTATTATTGGTACTCAGTAGGATTCCGACGAAAACTGAAGTGGCCACTTCACAAGCACTGATGATGTCACCTCGGCTGGTGATGAAACGTTTGCAAACAAATTGCCATGCTCGGCGAACAGGCGAAATAGAATTCAGTTCACCCGAGCTACGAGAACCGATTTTCAATACTTTGTCAAACTCAAAACGTGTTCACAATATTTCTCGGCCTGTGTTTCTGTAATTCTTCACTACATATTAATAATAGTATAAAGTATAATATGCGCGTGTACAGATACAGCGACATGATCCAGATTACATTGTGAGAACTTGTTCTTGGCTTCTCTCTTCGAATTCGTCAGGGAGAAACTCTGCATTGTCCGCGGTTTCAGCATCTACAACAAGGAGTGGCTGTTGCATTCCTCAGACATTCTTATTATTGAAAGGTTAAGCAGATGAACCATTTAAGTTAGATAAGTATAAGTATGTGAAGAGCAGGATTGAGCAATTAACAGACTCAAAGCATGCGGTAAAAATGTAAAATCTTGAAAAAGTAACGGAGCTAAGCGACTCGCTATGGGTCTTCTTTCTGTTGCCCACAAGTCTCATGGCTATTGTCAAAACGGTGTTCTTTTGATTAAAAAACAAAACGGTCGTCTTAGTCGACTGAAATTTCCTCTCTGCTTTTTCATTTTCCCATATGAATTGGTAAAGAAGCGGTTCAATCCATAGCAACGGAGCACGCTGTCAACAGTTGCCCAGTCTGAAGAGAAGTCATTTTGCACTTTTCGGCCTCCTTCGATTGATCTGAGGTTGTGGTTCTCCGTTACAATGCAAACGGAACCGTTTACAATGTGCGTTTCACCGGCTTCTATTTTTTTGGGGGTCTGATAAATGTTTGGTACGCAAATGCTTCCTGCAAAACTAATCATGAGATCTTATAATAAACACAGTTGAATGGATAAAGTAATGGATTTCTTGCAGAAATCAACTTGAATTCGAGATATTTCCCTTTGAATTAGAAGTATCTACTGAGTGTTTGCTGATTCATTTGTTTTCAGATATATTATCGAGGAGCTGGGTAGATCACCGGAGAAAGTCATATTTGGTAAGTTTATCATCCATTTTTCACAAATGTGTCATTACTGTCTTCGTCTAGATTTTGCACTCGCTCGAGGATATCCAATTGAACGTGACAACTACATTGACGCCCTGATGAAGCTGTCCAAATCGCGTAGCTAATAGGTAGTTGCGCGGTACAATCAATGCAGTTTCACTGGATCTTCACACACTCGAGGATTTTTATACCTTGCCTCGGCACCTTTTCCCTTCCCATGACCAAGTTAGGGTATGCTCTGACTCATAGTTGGTTATGAAATACGGCCCGCCTCTGCAGTACCCACGTGTTCTGGTTATACAGTGACCTCTTGGTCGTATTTACCCGTCCTGGAAATCGCCTGATTTACCTCCACAATGTAGTATATTCCGGTTTGTGAAATTGAACCAATGACTTATCAAAATGTGCTTGATCATTGCATTCCTGTCTTATCTGTGCGGATTGTACAACTCTGATTTGGTGCATTATTTGTTTTTTTTTGTGACTGGGACGGTAAATGGGAAAAAGTTGAATGAAAGAATAATGTTGAGCAACGCGTTTGCTGGTTCGACAGCTTGAATTCACCTCATGCCTCGACTAAACCCGTGTGAGAAGTAATAGGGACACTGCCTGTGTCTGTGACCTTAGTAAATGGTGTATCAATGCCGACTGGTACCACACATGCTCACACGCCATGTTGATTTGGCCTTATTTTGAGACAGATTCTCTTCAGTCATATTGACTTCATCTAGAGTTTCGTTGTCCCGTATATACATTATATAATTCACACACATCTGATGCCAGACTGTGCCTGACAAATCGTGGTACAATAATCTTTATAAAAAGAAAAACGCTCCACGATTTTCAAGTGAGCCGAAAACTGCCAGGTTACCCAGGCCAAGGCAGGTGAATTTTCTTGGGGAATCCACAACCGGGGCCTTTGGCTAATCAAAGCCTGACCTGCAAGACAGCGGGGCGGTGTGGGAAAACCTCAGTCCATTGAGATCCGGTGTCCGGTTCATTGGATTATACGCCCTTCGGACGGGGTCAAACGTCCAAGGTGCCCAATAGACCTCGATACCGAATTGAGCCGGTGACCACTACCACAACTGGAAGGGTGTGTGTGCGTGTGTTTCGTACGTCTCTTCTTGTTTGGTTAGGAATCAGGGATTTTGGTCAACTCCCCTAGGTGAGCTACCAGTGGTCCACCAATCCGGTTATAGCCCGGGATATCAGCTTTTCGTCCTCTCACTTTGGTTTGGAAACAACTCCGCCATTAGAAGGCAGAGAGTAGGACTCCCTCAGCTGAGGCTATCTGAGACACTTGGCCGTATGGAAGCATTTCACAAGGTGCAAGGGAACGGTCACCAGTCGCAACCCTAGACACCCACCCCCGACCACACTGGGGATTTCGGAGGCTGATTACCCACTCATGCATGGACTTTCTACGCTTGCCTTTTTAGTTGGCCTGCATGCATGCTCACAGTGTATCCGTTTGCGTTACTAATCATGTACATACATGAGGTAGTAGTATCATCTCTGACTCAGAGGGCTGTCGGCCCCCTTGGGGTGTCCTCCGTTCTTTGGTCTCCACCAGGCGCTCAGTTCTC